ACTAAACCCTGTAATGCCAGGAGAGCCATGTGGTGCCAGAGACTAAACTCGGGGCCTCACACATGCCTAGCCTGTGCTTTAGATATTTAGATATTTCCCCAGACCCCAAACATCATTCTTAACAATGAAATATTATAGTATTTCTTTCTAAAACCAGAAATAAAACCAAAGAACACTTCTACATAGAAAAAAATATTTAAAACCAATTATTTGCAGATGGTTTGATTGTAGGAAAAACAAAATTATAAAGATATATTTTGAATCAAAAAATTATGGCCAGGCTTATATATGCACATACACCCAAGTGATGTGCATTTATAAGCCACAAAGCATTGATTTACTTATTTATTTTGGTTTGGGGGACATACCCAGAGATTCTCAGGATTTACTCCCAGCTCTGTGCTCCAGTATTACACCTGGTAGTTTTCAGGGACCCATATTGTGGTGCCAGGGATTAAACCCAGGTTAATTACATGCAAGGCAAGTGTCTTAACTGTTTTAACTGCTGGATTGTCTTTCTGGCCCATAATTTTAAAGTATACTTTTGACAACAACAAAATTATACAAAGCACTTAGCAATAAGTCTGTCCAAGAATCTACTATATATGGAAGAGATTGTAAAACTCGGGGAGACACTTAGAAGAATTAAGTCTTTGAAATGAACATCAGTTTCAAAAATGTAAATTTTTCTATAATCTATTGATTTAAAACACTTTCAAAAGAATTCCCAGTAGAATTTTTAAATTGTGGTAAAATAGACATAAAACAAAAAACTCACATTTTGACCCATGATTCAGAGCACAGCCCAGCAGCATTGACATATTCATGTTATCATGTAGAATTTTCTCATCTTCCCTAAGAGCCACCTTGTACTCATTAGACACTAGTTTCCCATTCCCTTCTCTACCAGCTTCTGGCAACCATATTCATTTTTGTCTCTGAATTTGACTACTCTAGATGCCCCATATAAGTACAATCTAAGATACCCTCTGGGGTCTGTGTGCATTGTGTTTGTTCTATTTTTAAAAAATTGAAACTGATTCCAAAATTTATGTAGAATTGCAAAGAGCTTAGAATATCCAATATGATGGTGGGAAATGTACACTGGTGAAGGGATGGGTGTTAGAACATTTGTTTTATGACTGAAACCAGATCATTAACAGCTTTTTAACTGTGTGTATGACTGTGATTCAATAAAAAATATTTTAAAATAGAATAGCCAATATAACTCTGAATTATATTTCAGATATAAAATTGTCACATAGGTAATTATACATAATTGTAAATCTAGTATGTTAAAATAATGCATTGTTTAACTGAAGATACATAAATAGATTTGGAACAATGCAACACCAAAATGAACTCCCCCATATATATAAAATTAACAGCTTGCTAAGAAAGGACTGCCAATCCTTCAATCAGAGGTACTCTAATAAATGACAATTCCTAAGGAAGAAAATGAATGAAATTAGATGACTTCTTCAAACCACAGACAAAAGGATACAAGAGTGAAACATGAAAGAGAAATTCTCAAACTTAAAAAAAACACATGTATGCATTTCATGATCTCAAAGTAGTATGTAAAAAAGGTGTAATGAGTAAGAAAAGATTAATAAGTTTTATTTCAATTTATGTCAAAGACACCATAAAGAAAATACAAGTCACAAACTTGGAGAATATCTTTAAACCACCTGTAATAATAAAAGATAAAGAATCTTTCAAAGTCACCTAGACTAGGACAAATACAAAAACTGGCAGAAGACACCAATAGGCATTTCACCTCAGAAGAACCATCAAGGGAGAACAAAAGTGAAAATATAGTCAGTCTTGAAAGCAGAAAGGAACATGAAGTTTCAGGTCACAGTGAGAAATCTGCCATGGGACTGGGATGGATCCAGAACAGGTGGCTACCCCAGCATCGAAATGGGACATTCTCACGTCACGTCACGTTCCTCCCGTTGTTCATCGATTTGCTCGAGCGGGCCCAGTAACGTCTCCATCATGAGACTTGTTGTTACTGTGTTTGGCATATCGAGTACGTCACGGGTAGCTTGCCAGGCTCTGCAGTGCGGGTGAGATACTCTCAGTAGCTTGCCGGGCTCTCCGAGAGGGGTGGAGGAATCGAACTCGGGTCGGCCATGTTGGCTGTGTGCAAGGCAAACGCCCTACACACTGTGCTATCGCTCCAGCCCGGGACATTCTATTTTTATTATTATAATAGAATCACCATGAGGTACAGTTACAACGTTTTCATGTTTGAGTTTCAGTCATACAATGATCAAACACCCATCCTTCCACCAGTACACATTTTACACCACCAATGTCCCCAGTATCCACCCCCACCATCCAACCCTCCCCCTGCCTCTATGGCAGACAATTGCCCCCATACTCTTTCTCTACTTTTGGGCATTTTGGTTTGCAATACAGATACTGAGAGGCCATACTTGGAGCACACATCTCCCATCTCGTGATCCCTTCTCCATTCCAGCTGTCTTCTCCCCCAGCTCATGAGGCAGACTTCCAACTATGGAGCAATCTTCCTGGCTCTTGTCTCTAGTGTCCTCGGGTGTCATTCTCATGTCATGTTATTTTATATTCCACAAATGAGTGCAGTCATTCCATGTATTTCCCTCTCTCTCTCTCTCTCTCTCTCTCTCTCTCTCTCTGACTCATTTCACTTAGTGTGATACTCTCCAATGACTATCCACTCAGAAGCAAATTTTATGACTTCATCTTTCCTGACAGCTGCACAGTATTCCATTGTGTAGATGTACCAAAGTTTTTTTAACCAGTCATCTGTTCTCGGGCACTAGCGTTGTTTCCAGATTCTGGCTATTGTGGACAGTGCTGCAATGAACATACAGGTGCAGATGTCAAAATGGGACATTCTAGAAAGCATAAATGCATGGTCTTGATGCAAGCTGTTACAACTTAAGAGACAAAACCCCCATGGGGAAGGACAAGCTGAATTGGTCTGAGGACTTAGTCTGGGATTTACGGTAAAAACCTAGCTTGCTCTCAGAGTCCAGACAACTAAGTGTTTAAAAGCCTTGCTTTCTTTCAGAGCCTAGAGAAGTGTTGAGATATTTGTCTCTTACAGTGTTTATCCAAACAACTGCAAGTATTAATAACATATACAACTAGAGGGAAACATAAAAGCAATGTAGATGTCCCTGGGAGACAGTGTCTCCTTGCATTAATCTCCCTCAAAGAGAAATTGCTATGCTTGATCTATGTAAATGATCTATGTCAACTTCCAGATGTCTTACCCATGTAAATGATCAATCACACCTAGGTCCTTACCTCAAGCCCCCTCAGATGTTCCATACGTATGCTAGTAGCATTGCACTAAAAGGGCCATTTTCACCATCAGTCTGTGGTCCCTATCTCTCTCTGTCTCTGCTGGGGAGGACTAGAAACAGCTCTTAATAAACGCACGCATCTCACCATCACAGCACCTGCACTACTTTGTGAAGTCACAGATGTGGTCTTGCAAAGTCGAACGCTGCTACATCCCACAACCCAGCAATTTCATTCATAGGTATATATACTCATGAAAACATGCTTTTCCAACAAAAAATTGGGAATCACTAGTGAATCAGTTGAAAGGACTGAGATCACTTATGTTTTACATAAATTTCAAAGCATGAGATTCATGAGTAATAATGTTATCCTACATCTAAGATAAACACTGTTCCTTGAAATGTTTGCATCAGTTATATCCACTGGGGGTTGAAGAGTGAGACTAGAGATGTGTGGGTGTATGAGATGATGTAAAATTTGCTTCTCAATCTGAGTCATGGCAACTAAATTTGAAAACCCTGTAGGAACTCTTGCACACATTCCCCAGAAATCATACACATGACTGTTCATAAGTTTTATGCAAAATATAAAAGAAAACCCGAATACCCACTGATACTGGAAATCAACATGAATAAGTACATTGGGCATATACACCTGACAGAACATTATGAGAAAAGAGAACAACTTTTCAACTACCGACATGAGTCTTAGAAACAAAATATTGAGTGAAAACAGGAAGCTACAGAATACCACATACAATATGCTATATTTATCAAGTTTAGAGACAATACTGAAAATCATTAAAAACAACCAAAGGATACTGATACCAGGCTATCTAGTTTAATTCCTAGTCTTGCCCTCATTACATTGCAACCTTGGGTAAAATACTTAACCTGTGCCTCAGTTTCCCATTTGTAAAACGGCAACAATCATGTACCTAACTGGCTCCTGCAGTAAAACCCTGAAGGTGCTTGGAACAGTGCACATTCAATAAAGAATGAATACAACAGGCTTGAGCAATACCACAACGGGTAGGGCATTTGCCTTGCACGCGGCTGACCCGGGTTCGATTTGCAGCATCCCATATGGTCCCCTGAGCACCACCAGGGGTAATTCCTGAGTGCAAAGCCAGGAGTAACTACTGTAAATCGCTGGGTGTGACCACCAAAAAAAGCAAAAAAAAACCAAGGAATGAATACAAGTAGAAAGAATAGAATCAGCAACACTTTACTCTTAACGTGGGGGTTGGCTGTAAGAATACTAACTTTATGCATTTTATATCAAATATATTAATAAATGTGTTAATATATGCCATTATGTATTATTGCATATTAATGTCATTATGTTTTATTATATGTCAAATGGAGCGATAGCACAGCGGTAGGGCGTTCGCCTTACAAGCGGCCAACATGGCTGACCCGAGTTCGAATCCTCCGCCCCTCTCGGAGAGCCTGGCAAGCTCCCCGTGACGTATTCGATATGCCAGACACAGTAACAACAAAGTCTCCAATGGAGACGTTACTGGGCCCGCTCGAGCAAATCGACGATCAACGGGAGGGCCTTTACCTTTTTACCTTTATATGTCAAATACTAAAATTTCCAGAACTTTGAGTTGTACTTCGACTAGGATCTGTGCACTCAGGCTCAATCATAAGACACTGAGGCCACAACAAGTGGCAGCCTGAGCAATTCCATACCTGGTTCTCAGCATGTTGCCCATAGACCCAGCCCAGCTTTGGAGCAAGCTGAAGAGTGGTCTTTCTTCATACTCCTTGGTTTTCTGAGCCAGCAGTTCCCGTGCCACAGCCTGTATAGAGAGTTAGTCATTTATTAGTCATTTGCCAGAAATGTAAAAATGTCTCTTTTTTATTGTCGTTGAAGTTAAGGCAAGATGTTTACAATAGTGTGTTAATGTCTGTGGTCTTTGCGCACAGTTAAATCTTCCCACCACCAAGGTGCCTAACAGCCTCCACAAGTATCCCTAAACTACTTCATTCCTCCCCTCCCCACTACCTACCACCCACTCAAACCCCAGTTTGGTAGTATAAGTTTTGAAATCCAGTACCAAGGGTTGGGCGGTCTTCATTTCTATTTCTTTGTTTTGTTACTCTGTATACCACTGATGAATGAGATCATCCCATATTCGTCTTCTCCCTTTGACTTATTTCACTAACATGTTACCTCCAATTCCATCCAAGTTGCAGCAAACTACAAGATTTCATCTTTTATTTCAGCTGCAGAGTATTCCAGTGTGTATATCACAACCTCACTATTCATTTATCTATCACTGGACATTTGGATTTTTTTCATATCCTAGCTACTGTACTGAGTAGTGCAGTGAATAGGGGTGTGCTATCATCTTTTCAATTTTATGTTTCTGCATTCTTGGGAGAGATACCAAGAAGTGGGATTTTGGAATCATACATAGAACCTCTATTCTTAGTTGTTGTTGTTTGGGGGGGGGGGGGGAGAGTTGTTAAACCTCACCTAGCAGTGCTCAGGAACTACTCCTGGTGGTTCTCAGCAGTTCATTTGTGGTGCCAGGGATCAAACTATCTCCGATACATGAAAGGCAAGTACATTACCTCTTGTACTACCTTTCCAACTCTACTTATTGGTGTTTGAAAAAGCCTCCATATTGTTTCCCACAAAGGTTTAATCAGACTACATTCCTACTAACAGTAAATGAGGGTTCCTTTTTCACCACATCTCCATCAAACACTGTTTTGGGTTGGGTTTTGTGTGTGTGTGTGTGTGTGTGTGTGTGTGTGTGTGGTCCTTTTGATATATGCCATTCTCACTAGTGTGAAATGATGCATCTGAAATGCAAACATTGAGTTGTGCTTTGACTAGGATTGGTGCACCCAGGCTCCATCATATGACACTGAAGCCACATTTGATTTTGCATTTCCCTAATAAAAGAGATGAACAATTTGTCCTATGTCTCGGGGTCAATGTTAGTCTTCAGGAGACATCTGTTTATCTTCCCCCACCACCACTTTGTTTTGTCTTGTTTTTTAGGTCACCCGCAGTGATGCTCAAAGGCATTCTGACTCTTTGCCCAGGGATCATTCCCTGGCAAGGCTCAGGGAAACATATTAGGAACCTGAATCCAATCCAAGTCATCTACACGGAAGGCAAGTGCCCTACTAATTTCACTATGTCTCTGGACCTCCTCTTTCCATTTTTTATAGAGTTATTGGTTTCTTTGTTGTTGATTTTGTGAATGCCTTTTGTATCTTAGATACTAACCCTTTATCTTATATGCACCATAGCACTGTCCTCCCGTTATCAATTTTCTCGAGCGGGCACCAGTAACATCTCCATTGTGAGACTTGTTGTTACTGTTTTTGGCATATCTAATATGTCACGGGTAGCTTGCCAGGCTTTGCCGTGCAGGCGGGATACTGTTGGTAGCTTGCCCAGCTCTCTGAGAGGGGCGGAGGAATCGAACCCACATCAGCAGCATGCAAGGCAAACACCCTACCTGCTGTGCTATGGCTATGGTGTGCAAATACTTGCTCTCATTCTGTAGGATGCCTTTTAAAATTTACCTTGATTTTCTTTTGCATGTAAAACCCTTTTATTTTGTTACAGTCCTATTTGTTTGAGATTTTGTTACCTTTGCCAATGAAATAAAATCAATGAAGATACTTCTGGACCAATGAAGGTCCACATCCAGAAAAGCTTTGCCTATATTTTCCTCAATGCATTTTTCAGGAGTTCTCGTCTAATCTTGAGAACTCTGGTTCACATCTGATTAACTGTTGTGAATGGTATGAAATACAGGTTCTGTTTTATTTTTATATATGTAGCCATCCAATTTTCTTATGCCATTTTTATTTCATTTTTTTAATTTTAATTTTTTATGATACATAAACATGGCACATTTATTTTTTGTGGGTAGGTACATATATTTTGGTTTTGGGTCACCCAGTCATGTTCAGGGCTTACTCCTGGCTCTTCGTTCAGAGATCAATCCTGACAGTGCTTTGGGGACCATATGGAGTACCAGGGATCAAACCTGGCTCTGATGCATGCAAAGCAAGCACTCTACCCACTCTACAATTGTTCCAGTCCCATTCTTCATTTTTTAAAAAAGTTTATTTATTGAATCACCGTGAGAACAGTTACAAAGCTTTTAGGTTTAAGTCTCGGTCATACAATGATCAAACACACATCTCTTCACCAGTGCATATTTTCCACCACCAAGAACCCAAATATACCCCCATCCCATTCCTCCTCCTGCCAGTGAGGCAGATGATTTCCACTTAACTCTCTCTCTTTACCTGGATTACATTCATTATTTCGACAAAAGATGCACTATTATTATTTTGGACTTTCCCCTGACAATCAGACCTGCTGAAAAGGCATCGTGAAATAATTTGTTTTCTATTGCTGATTATGAAGAACATATGATGTCGTGCAGCTGCAATAGCGGCCACAAGATTTTGAGTTTCTGATATTTTACTAATTAAGTCTGGAGGGATTTCTGCCAAAAGCCTCTTAGTTCCGAGATTGTTTTGTGAGCCTCTAGGTCCATGGCTGTGCTGAAGAGCCACTAGCGGGAGGCAACTCGTGGTCTCAGCGGGGTGGGAAGGACATTCTGGTTCTGCTCCCATCCCATGAGGCCACAGTTGCCCCGTCACCAACGGCTCATACCTGGCTGTCCAACAGGCTCTGAGGTGGCGGCCATCATACTGCCAGGCTGGGGAAAGGCAGAAGAGACAGAAACTCTTTCCCTCCCGGGGTCGGGGGGTGGGGGTGGGTGGGAGGCATGGAGCTGTAGCTTAATGCACAGTCCACTCACATTTCTGCCCAAAGCTGCTAGGTTCCAAATTAGGTCCATGTGCCTCTGGGGCCATGGCCGTGCCAGAGAGCCACTTGTGGGGGGGCAACTCTTATCACCATTTTTAAAAGAGGCTTTTTTTTATTCCATGCACCCAGAAACTTTTTCACTGGTTAGCTCTGGGATCTCAATTCTATTCCACTGGTCTAAGAGTCTATCTTTAGACCAAATACCTATCTGTATTGATTACTATTGCTTTCCTGTATAATTTTAAATTAGGAAATTCAATTTCACCCATCTTTAATTTTCTTAGAATAGCTTCAGTTATTTGGGAGTTTAATAGTTCCATATATGCCAGCATCTTTAAATGTCGCAACCAGAAACTGTCTACTTGCTTGTAGTAAAATCCATTGACGGAATCACATACGAGTCTTTACCCCTTCCATAGGCCTTATAGGGCAGTTAATCTAGCACTCTCAAGCCTTCTGAAAGACTGACTAGCGGAGTGCTTCTTGCTCTCTCTCAACCTTGAGGTAGCTATCTCCAGTTCTGATCCTAGGACAAACTATTTCAGTAGACATTTCAGATAAAATCTTCTTGCCTTCCCTGGGTCAGATGGCTTGACTATTTGGGGGGGGGGGTCACAATTGGCAATGGTCAGAGATTACTCCTATCTCTGCACTCAGGAATTATTACTGGCAGTGCCAGGGGGACCACATGGGATGCTGGGGATTAAATCCAGGTCTGTTGTGTACAAGGCAAATGCTCTACCTACTATACTATTGCTCCAGCCCTGGCAGGACTATTTTTTGTTGGCCCTTCATTGTCTATGATGGATCAAAGTTTGAGAAATAGTACCAAAATGTACACACAAAACATTGATAATTTCTGCCTCTGCACCTTTAAAGCTGCTGTTTAGGCCTAAAATATTGTATGCTTTCCATGGAGCTGTGGAAAGAAAATGTGGCCAAACCAAGAGAGACCCAGTTGACAACATCGATGGAAATTATTATTAGTGAGGCCACCTCGGACCAACCTACTGACCACCAACAGTGAAAGCGAATCCAAGAAAGACCACTGAGGAATTGAACAATGTGAATTCAACCCAAACTGCCAGCCCACAGAACTTTGAGCTAACGTTTGCATGCAGTTTTAAAGTAATGAATTGGGGGGGGGGGGCGGGGAGGTTGTTACATGACAGTAAATGCTGATTCATTCTCACACACAACCAATACAGGAATTTTTTCATATATATTCATCTTTTAAAACAGATTATATAAAATGTTGCATGCACATAGCAGAGCCTGACAAGCCACCCGTGACGTATTTGATGTGCCAAACACAGTAACAACAAAATCTCCACTGGAGACATTACTGGGCCTGCTCCAGCAAATCGATGAATAATGGGAGGGCCTTTTACTTTTACTTTAAGTGATAAGCAATCATAATATTTCTGTATTATAACTGCGATTTCAGCTTCTAATGATATAATGGCTGTATAATAGTCCTTATTTGAGAAAAAAAACTAGAACTAGTTAAATACTTCATTTCACTCAGACTGTTTAAGATCTTCAAATCTAACTTTTTTACCTTTAATGTTTTGGCAGTGACAGGGATCAAACCCATATACTTGTATTATTTGCAAAGCAAATGTTCTATGACTGAGCTACATCCCCAACCCTCTGATTTTATTCTACTGTCAACAACCTTCGTATCACAATGCTTATATAAGTGCCATAATTCATATTACTATGTTCATATGTGTCATAATTTTTTAATATCCTGAGACGGAATCGATTAGCTTAACTGATGCAGAGGTTTTTTTTGTTTTTGTTTTCGTTTTTTTTACCTGGGAGAGGACTGCAGGAAGCTTTAAAGGGAGCAGAATCAGACATGCAATGTCTGGGGCAGTCTCAGACAATGGCAGACAGTTCTAGGGTCCACTCAAGTGTCATGTGATCAGACATAGCCAGTTAAGAACCAGAGTCAGACAGTTACACTAAAGCTCTCCAGTTCTC